ATATTAATGTTCACTAAAGGAAGCCAGGCACAAAGGTACATATTCTGTGATTTTCTTTATGAAAAGTTTAAAAGCATATCTAAACTGATACATATGAGTATTGAAAGAAAGGAAGATCATTGTCTTTGGAGGATATGGCTGGAAGGGGACATAAAAGGTAATTTTGAGGTGCTGGTAATATTGTGTTTCTTGATCTGGGTGCTGATAGCACAGTGTATGAAAGTTCACCAAACTATAGACTCATGATCTGTGTACTTTTCAACATGTAGAATTTTTTAAATTTGGGGTTTTTCTTAAGTAAAGAGAGTTATTAAGAGTAGTCATTGGAATTGAGTTTCAGAAGAACTAGGTTCAAATCCTGATTTTTGTACTTAGTAATGGTAAGCTTTTTCCCCCAGTATAATGTGGATAATGATACCCCTATTGCTAGATGTTACACATAATAGGTTATCAATAAATGTTAGTTATATCTGAACCTAATAAACTGAATATATAAAAAAATCATTAATTGATGATGATAAGTAAGTATTATTGTTGGAAAAATAATTTTTCCAAATGAAAAACATTTATTTTAAGAAATGAAATTTAGAATATTCGAGTACTCTTTGTAAGCTAAGGCAGTAACTACAATGATATTCTAAAACAGCAGTTAAACTAAAAATTGTTGGCATTTGAAGTATATTACATAATTTATTTTTTAATGATATGAATTCCTAATAACTATATCTTACAGATAACAAAAACAGTTGAGATAAATATAGCATTTCTTTTCCAAAGATGTCTGCAACACTATCTCTTATCCCACATACTTTTCTGAAATGAATTCTTACCACCCCTCCACCAAGAGAGTGCCTTTATTTACCAATCCCTCAAATCTCAACAGGCCTCATGACTGCTCTGATTGATTTCTCACAGTTCTGGAGGCTGGAAGTCTGAGATCAGGTTGCCAACATGGTCCAGTTCTGGTAAGAGCTCTGTTCCAGTCTGCAACTACCAAGTTCTCATTGCATCCTCACATGTTAGAAAAGAGAGCTAGAGAGCTTTCTGGAGTCCCTTTTATGAGGGAACTAATCCCAATCATGAGGGCTCCCCCTTCATGACCTAATTATCTCCAAAAGGCCCCACCTCCTAATACCATCACATTGGGCGTTAGGATTTTGATATGAATTTGAGGGGAACACATTCAGCCAATTACAATTTTAGTAAATTTACAGTTATGCGACCATCATGCCAATCCAGTTTTAGACATTCTCATTAACCCAAAATGTTCCCTTACCACCAATTACAGTTAATCCCTATTCTCACCTTAAGCAACAACTGTTCTGATTATCATCTCTATAAATCTGTCTTTTGAGAATTTCATATAAATGTAATCATATAATATATAATCTTTTGAGTCTGGCTTCTTTTACTTAGAATGATGTTTGAAGTTCATTCCTGTTGTAGCGTGTATCAGAAGTTCATTCCTTTAATTGCTAAATAGAATTCAATTGTAAGTATATACCATATGATGTTTATTTATTCACAAGTTGATGGATATTTCATTGTTTCTAGGTTTGCACTATCATGAATATGTTATAAGCATTCACATGCTTGTCTCTAAGTGCTCATATGTTTTCTCTTGGGTGGATTTTTAGCTGTGGTATTGCTGGGTCATATGGTAAATTTATGTGTTTAGAAGTTAACTTTCAAAAATACTGCCAAAATATTTTTGAAAGTGGCTATACCATTTTACATTCCCACCAGCAATGCACAAGGGTCTCAATTTCTCTGCATCCTTGTCAGCACTTAGTACTGTTGGACTGACTGTCTTTTAATTATAACTATTCTAGTTTAAGTGTAGCAGTATTTCAATGCAGTATTAATTTGTATTTCCTTAATGATTAATGATGTTTATCATCTGTTCATGTTTTTGTTACGCATCCATTTATCTCTTCCAAATTACTTTCACCAAAATATCTAAAATCCTTTGTCCATCTTTTAATTGAGCAGTTTGACTCATTATTATTGAGTTGCAAGAGTTCTTTATATATTGTGGATATAAGTCCTTAATCAGATGTATAATTGCAAATATTTTCTCTCAGTGTGTGGTTTATCTTTTCATTTTCTTGTTGGTGTCTTTTGAAATGCAAAACTTTAAAATTTTGCTGAAGCCCAATTTATCATTTTTTCTTCTTTCATAAATTGTGCTTTCAGTATCCTATCTAAGAATGCTTTACTCACCCAAGGTCACAAAGACTGTCCTATATTTTCTACCAGAAGTTTCATGGTTTTAGTTCGTATACTTAGGTTATGATCTATTTTGAGTTACTTTTTGTGTATGTGTGAGGTAAGGATCCAAGTTCTTTTTTTAGCAAGTGGATATCTAATTGTCTTAGAACCATTTGTTAAAAAACAAAAATCAAAAAACTACCCTTTCCCTTTTGACTTGTCTTGGCTTCTTTGTCAAAAGTCAATTGACTATAAATGCAAGAATTTTCCTTTGGAATTTCAGTTCTGTTCCACTGATTTATAAGCTCTTCTCTGTGACAGTACCACAATGTCTTAATCATCGTGGCTTTATAGTAAGTTTTCAAATCAAGTAGTGAAAGTCCTCCAAATTTGTTCTTTTTCAAATTTGTTTTGACTATTGAGAGTCATTTGTATTTCCATACAAATTTTAACACCAACTTGTCAATTTCTACCCCCTCCCAAAACAAAGCCTACTGGAATTTGATAAGGATTGCCTGAATTTATAGACTAATTTGGAAGAATTACCATGTTGACAATACTGAGTTTTCTGATCCGTAACTATAAAATTGCCTCTCAATTTATTTAGATTTTCTCTCGTTTCTCTCAGCAATCTTTCATAGCCTTTGGTGTATAAATCTTGCACTTCTTTGGTTAAGTTTATTCCAACTACTTATTCTTTTTGATACTATCATGAATGGAAATAGTCCTCTTAATTTCAATTTACAATGTTTCATTGATAATATACCGAAATATAATTGATTTTTGTATACTGATCTTGTATCTTGTGATTTTGCTAAACTTGCTTATTGGTTCTAGTAGTGTGTGTGTATTCTTTGGCATTTTCTATGCAAAGGATCATATTATTTGTAAATAGGAACAGTTTTCTTTCTTTCTTTAAATTCTGGATGGCTTTATTTATTTATTTATTTTCTTTCTAATTTCCCTGGCCAGACTCTTTGGTACAATGTTGAACAGAAGTGCTGAGAGCAAAAATCCTTATCTTATTCTTAATCGTAGGGAGAAAGTACCGATCTTTCTTCATTAAGGATGGTGTTACTGTGTGTTTTCCAAAGATACCCTTTATCAGGTTGAGGAACTTCTCTGCTACTACTAGTTTGAGTGTTTTTATCACAAAAGAGTGTTGGATTTTGTCAAGTGCATCTATTGAGATTATTATGTGGTTTTTATTCTATTACTGTGGTGTATTACATTGATTGATTTCCTAATGTTCAGCCACTCCTGCATTCCTGAGACAAATACCACTTGGTCACAATGTGACCTTTTAACATTGCTGGATTCAGTTTGCTAGTATTTTGTTAAGGATTTTTGAAATCCTTAACAAAGGATTTAGGAATATTTGTCTGTAGTTTTCTTGTGATGCTTTTGTCTGGTTATGATGTCAGGGTAATATTGGTCTCATACAATGTGTTGGGAAGTTTTCCCTCCTCTTCTATTTTTTTGGAAGAGTTTGTGAAAGACTGATCTTCTTTTTTCTTTTTTTAACAATCCATTAAATGTAAAAAACAACTAAAATAACCCTATTAGATTGCATACTTTGAAAGGGTGGATTTTTGTGGTATGCGAAGGGATATGAGCTTGTAATCCCTGAAAGGGCCTATTTCTGGCTTACCTTTTTTCCTAGGGTGCAAACCTTCAGAGTTTACCAAGTTATCCCTGCCATGGCAAGCCTTTAACTCCAATCTCTTTCTCTCTACTCCCATGAAGCTACTAAAAAAACTGTTCATCCTATCAGTCATTGGCCCCTCTGGAATTGGTACATACCCTATTGGTAGCCTCAGACTCCGGGCTCACATTCTAGAACTTTTATTCTCCTCTAGACCTTGTACTGGAAATTCTTAGGAGCTTGTTAGTTCTTGAGTGGCTTCAAGTAGATTTTTAAAAAGATAACTTTGTCCAGCTTTTGTAGCTGCCATTAGGGGGAATGTTGGTCTGAGTTATCTGGTTAATTATTACTCGTAGTTTCCATCATCAATTTTTTAAGATTATAAAACAACTATAATTTTATCAACAATATTTCTTGTTTGAGGATATAAAATGTTTCAAAATAGTTTAACTGACCAGATTTTAAAATAACTCCTTTCTATGCCATAAAAAAATTTATTCGAATATTTTTGGGCTCAGATTCTGTAGTATAAATTTGTGTTAAAATAAATAACTTCACTATTTATGAACACTAGCCATAAACTAAGAAGACTACATTCATTTGTACAACACATTTTTATTCTTCAAGATACTTTCACCATCTATTGTTTGTTCTTAATAATTCCTCTGTGAAGTAGGTGAAAATATTATAATATTTATTTTAAAGATGGATAAACTGAAGTTAAACTCAATCATTTGTCCATTCTAAAAATTACTGTAAGAAATTGCTCTTAAACTAAAATATATGACTTTTGCAATCTCACCTGATTTTCCACTGTGGCAATCTGTACCATCTGATTCAGATGTTGAAACATATTTCAGTATTTGATGTCCACAGCTTGTAGAATAAAATAGATAAATATATATGGTAAGTGAGGTAAATTTTTTTACCTAATCATAATTAGCAAATCTGCTTAAATTTTAATCAAGATCCCAAGTGCAACACATGCTAATATTTCAATCTCTATAAACTTAAAAGGCTTTATCCTAAAAAGCATCTGTGTGTCCCTGAAGGAAATAACACATTTTTGAAAGTCAACATTGAGGTCTGAGATAAACTCTTATTACTATCAAAGCAGAAAGGAGATTAAGCACCATACGAACTGGTATTATGAATAGGCACTAAAGTAGTGTATACTAAAATAATTCTCTCAACATTTACTGATACCTTATGGTGAGTAGAATACTATTATATTTCACTTCAGATGGAGACCATTTAATTAGAAAATTAATAATAGTGCTGAAATGAGAAAAGGTTTATTTAGAATAAAAACTACTAGATAAGAAGAGGATATCTCTTTAATCTATCATCTAGTTATAAGACAGAACTAGAAAACTGGTAATATTAATACTTTATTAAAATACAGTATTTCCTCACATAATGTCATTGAAAGGTTCTTGAAAATTGAGACTGTAAGCAAAATGACTTACAGAAGATCCTCGAATAATGTCATTTCATTAAAACATTGATGAGAAAAAAAATTGGTTTAATTATAGGTCATTTAGGTTAAAGTTGCAGCATCCAAGAACCCATCAATGATGTTGAGGACTTACTTTAACTTACATTTTGAAACAGAAATAATAAACAGTTGGGAAACTTACCTTTTACACAGATTGCTATCAGAATTTCTAAACTGCTGATACAAATCTGGTGTATTGGGTACACTGCCCAGAGATCTGTGTAAAACAACGCTTGGCTTATTAAAAAAATCAGCAGTATCAGGAAATTCTATAGGTGATCGATTAGTTAGAGAGCCAGCAGACATTAGTCCATGACTGGGAGAATTCATAGGATTCAGGCCGGATAAAGCACCTTAAAAAATTAAGAGAGAAGATAGATAAATAAATATATATGTGTTTATTACATATGTCTGTGTTTTTATAAAGAGCATTTTCCTTCTTTAAAGAAAGCAAAGTATTTACAATTAAATGATATAACAAATTTCTACATGGGGCTTCAAGACATTCTAGGAATTTAAGCAAGATTTGTCATATTTATCAACATCAATGACTGTTGAGTAAACAACTGGCAGAATAGCACATAACAGGTAAATAAATATTAAGAGTGTGACTAAAATGTACATACTACATGGCACAAATTGTCCTAATTCATATTGGTCTTATCTTTCACATTTTGTGTCCCTACCAGCTTGATTATCCACATAAGCAAAGCAACTCTACCAAATTTTACTGAATTTTTTTCAATTCAGTAAAATTCAATTTTATTGAAAAACTAAAGTTCTTAATAGCATTAAGCAAGTTGAGGATATGCTAAAATTATATGCTAACATAGAGGCAGAACCCTTTAAAAACTGCATCCAAATATTTCCAGCTCATTCACTCATTCAACAAATATTTTAAAGCCTAGTATATGCTGGAAATGTGCTGCATTTCGCAATGGAGAAAAAGATACTATCCCAGTGATTCAAAGAATCTAGAGTACAGTGGAAAATGCAAACAAGTGCTACGTGCTAAAATAAGGCAAAAAACAAAGTGCTTTAGGAACACACAGGATGAGTGCCTTGAACTAAGGCAGTGTGGGTATACTTGGAAAGAGATAGGCAGATTTCAAACTTTATTTGGAAATAAAGATCCAACAAAAGTGTGATTCAGACAGGAAAACAAGTTAACAGTGATTAAGGAGCTACAGTATTTTCAGGCATAGTAGTAAATACTTATAGACGTGTGTGATGGTGTCAACTTGACTAGGTTATGGTGCCGAGTTGTTTGGTCAAACACTAGTCTAGATGTTGCTGCTGAAGATATTTTTTTAGATATGATTAACGTTTAAATCATTAGACTTTGAGTAAAGCAGATTAACTTTCTCATTATGTGTGGGCCTCGTCCAAGCAGTTTAAAGCCTTAAGAGAAAAGACTGAGGCCTCCCCAGAGGCACTATTTTTTTATTGTACTGTATTATATATATTTAAGGTGTAGAACATGATGTTTTGCTATACACAGTCAAGCAAATTAACATATTCATCATCTCACAATTACTTTACGTGTGTGTGTTTGTGTGTATTTGTGGTAAGAGGACCTAAAATCTGCTCTCTTAGCAAATTTCCAGTATACAATAAAATATTATTAACTATAGTCCTCATGCTGTACATTAGATCTCTATACTTATTTATCCTATATATATACAACTTTGTACCATTTGACCTACATCTCCTCAATTCCATCAACCCTGCCCCAGCCCCTGGTAACCACCACTCTACTCCCTATTTCTATGTATTCAACTTTCTTTTTTAGATTCCCATGTTACAGAGCTCATGCAGTATTTTTCCTTCTGTGTCTGACTTATTTCACTTAGCATAATGTCCTCTAGGTTTATCCATGCTATCACAAATGATAAGATCTCCTTATTCATTAAGGCCAAATAGTATTCCATTTGGCATATACTCCACATTTTCCTTATCCATTCATCCATTGATGAACAGTTGGGTCGTTTGCATAGTTTGGCTATTGTGAGTAATACTTCAATGAACATGGGAATGCAGATATCTCTAAGGGGTGTTTTTTTCATTTCCTTTGGGTATATATCCAGAAGAGAAATTGCTGGGTCATATAGCAATTTTTTCTTTAATTTTTTGAGAAACCTCCAAACTGTTTTCCATAATGGCTGCACCATTTGCATTCCCAACAGTGTAAAAGGGTTCCCTTTTCTCCACATCCTTGCCAACATTTGTTATCTCTTATGGCTTTGACATTTATATTTGAATCTTTGACGTATTTTGAGTTAATTTTTGAGTACAGTGAGAGTATTTATTCCTTTGCTAGGACAAGTACATATGCACTTGTCCTAGCACCATCTGTTGAAAACACTAGTCATTCCTCATTGAATTATCCTGGCATCCTTGTTGAAAATCACTTGACCATAAACGTAAAGGTTTATTTCTGGACTCGCAACTCTACATTCTATTGAATTGAAATATCCTTATGTTAGTACCACACTGTCTTGATTATTGTGGCGTGGCAGTAAGTTTTAAAATTTGGAAGTATGAATCTTCCAATTTTTTTCTTCTTTTTTATTAAAGAACTCTTTTGGTTATTCTGGAGCCCTTGCATGTCCATATCAATTTTAGCATTAGATTGTCAATTTCTGCAAAGAATCAGGTCAAATTTTTATAAGGACTGTGCTGAATCTAGAACACTTTGGGGAATATTGCCATCTTAACAATATTAAGTCTTTTATCCATGAACATGGAACATCTTTCCAGTTACTTAGGTCTTCTTTAATTTCTTTCAATAATGTTTTATATTTTCATTGAAAGGCTTTGCATTGTTTTGTTACATTTATTTCAAAGTATTTTCTGATGCTAACTGTAAATGAAATTATTTTCTTAACTTCAGTTTGGGATTGCTCATTGCTAGTGTATAGAAATAAAATGGATTTTTGTATATCCTGCCACATTGAGGAACTTGTTTATTGGTTATATTATGTTTCAATAAATTTCTTAGGATTTTATATATACAAGATCATGCCATCTGCAAATACAGTTTTACTTCTTCCTTTTATTCGTTTTTACTTAATTGCTTTAGTTAGAACCTACAATCCAATATTGAGTAGAAGTGGCAATTATTTTATATTTATTAAAATAATGTTATAACTTGATTTCATAATTTCTAATTATATATATTCTCTTTGGTGAGACACTGTTGTCATACTCTTCTTAAATAGTTCAGATATGGTTTCCTCTGGTTCTTTAAACATATTTATAAAGGCAGATTTATAGTCTTTGTCCATTTAAGTCCAAAATCCAAGAACCTCAGAGAAATTTTCTGTTGGCTATTTTTTTCCCTTGTACAAGGCAAAATTTTCTTCTGTCTTTGCATGTTTCATAAATTTTTGTTGAAAATTGAACATTTTAGATAAAATATTATAACATCTCTGGTATCAGACCCCTCCCACATCCAAGGCTTATTATGTTGTTGGTTTTGTGTTTGTTTACTTCTTTCTGATTATTTGTTTAGTGACTTTCCTGGACTAATTTTATAGATTCTGTTTTCTCTGCAGTATGTAGCCACTTAGTTCTCTGCTAGACTTTTTATTTTTTTAAGTTCTTAATTTTATTTTTAAGCTTGGCTTCCTAAGAGTCATCCCTGGGCCAGTATAATTTGAAGTCAGCCAATGGTCAATCAGAAGATTTCTTTAAATTTCTTGCCTATAGGTAGGTCTTTTAACCTTTGTAAAAGGAATCTGTATGAAAAGACACACCTTCAAACTTCAGGCAGTTTACAAGACAGGCTTAGCTTTCACTTCTTGCTTTCGCAGGCCTAAAGGTCAGCCACAGGTGAGTGAATGGGGCCTTCTTTCCCAGATCTTTCTTGAGTACAAACACAGCCTTATACATGTATGCGGCCTATTAGATCCCTAGGAATATGTCAGTGCTTTCCACAGTTTGCTATGGTCACCTTATATAGGATGTCCTTTAAATTCCCAGTCAGCTCTTGTTTTCCACAACTGAAATCATAGCCTCAGAGAGTCATGGTGTATTATTTTGGCAATTCCTGGGGGGTAGGGCTTTTTTGGGGGGCGGGGGGTAAGCTAAGCTCTGAGTCAAATCAAATAGCCACAATGCCTTTAGAATAAAGATTTTCCAGGGAGCTGTAAGTTTGGACAAAATATTTACTGTGTTCTAGAGATGATGCTTTTGAGGGAGCTCCAGGAAAGGTCAGACCTACCTGATGTATGCAAAGCTGCTAGGTTTTGATTACTGTACCACTGAGCTGGCGAGAGAGGGGGAGATCAAAATAGCCCTAAATTAAAATGTCATAGAATCCACTGTCTTACCAAGGTTCAGTAGTTTTCTTAGACAGAAAACTTTTAGTTTTTTCTCTGGCTTTTGGTAATTTCCAGAGTCTTGAAATGACTGATTTAGTTTTATTCCTATTTTTTGTTTGTTTGTTTGTTTGTTTTAGCAGGGGAGTAAGATCTTCCCTCTGCCATTCCAGAAGTTGATTTCTATACATTATTTTAATCCTTTGAAACCCACTGAGACTTGCTATAGTCAAGCAAATGTTATGTTGTGATAAAATTTGTGTCCTTGGAAAACATAAGCATCCTGGTAAATGGCTGGGTGTAGTGTTTTAATGTAAGTTAATTGAAGTTAGTTGATCATGTTGTTCAAATCTTTCATATATCTATACTGTTTTGGTCTGCTATTCTACTAGTTAATGAGAGGGGAGAGTTAAAATCTCCAAATATGAATATGGACTTGTCTATTTCTCCCTTAGCTCTGTCAATTTTTAGTTCACTTATTTAATAGCTATGAGATCAGATCTGTTTCTATATTTAGAGTATGCCTCATATAAAGAAGATATAGTTGAGTCTTATATTTTTAATTCAGCCTGACAATCTCTGTATTTTAATTGGAATAGTCCAATTTTTTGTTGAAAACTGGGAGTAAGATCTTCCCTCTGCCATTCCAGAAGTTGATTTCTATACATTATTTTAATCCTTTGAAACCCACTGAGACTTGCTATAGTCAAGCAAATGTTATGTTGTGATAAAATTTGTGTCCTTGGAAAACATAAGCATCCTGGTAAATGGCTGGGTGTAGTGTTTTAATGT